TTATTGACCCGAAACACCGATTTACCATTTTTTTCTGTATTTCTACTAGTCAATGAGTTGATTATATAAATAATAATTCTTGTGTTTCTGTATACCCTGACGGGAGGATGTCTCAAAGAGCTTCACAGGATTTACTGTAAAGTGTATCCATAAAGCAAATGACCAATTTTATCTGGGAGATTTTTGGCCAGGACACTAGGACAAACTCCCTTGTCTTTTTGAATAGTGCCATGCGATCTTTAATGTCCTGAACAGGCAGACGAGACCTCAGTTTAACATCTCATCTGAAGTTCGGCAAGTTCTGACACTGCGCTGGAGCATCAGCCTAGATCATATGATTTCCAAGCCACGACATGGGGCTTGAACCCACAACCTTCTGAGTCAAAGACGAGCGTGCTATTATTGAGTCAGGTTCAACACAGTTAGTAACCACATTGCAAAAGTCCCAAGTGAGGTCTCATGTGGTATTAAAGATGTGCTCTTAACTTGCTGGTGAAAATATTGCTTGCGATACGTTTGTCAGATTAAGAATATCAGAGGAAATTCACTGACCGAGGCAGTTCACCAAAAGCCACCAAAGTGTAAAAGTTGCAGTTGGGTGTGTTGCAAAGAACATCAGTAGGTACCTGGGATCTTTTCATTCTCTCAAAGAACAAAAAAAAGGAATAAAACATAGAGCAAAACAAAATAAAACATGCTCTTTCTGAGTAATGTAGCCCAGGTGGAGATTCAAAGGCTATTATTCAGGTGAGCGTTTAAGATCCCGTGAAACGATTGGAAAGAGAAGGGAGGTTGTCACAAAGTGTCCTGTCCTGCAATGCTCCGGATGAAATAATCTCATGGCTGTGTGTTGGATCGCTTGCGGAGATTGCTGTAAAATGGCTGGAATCTTGCATTTTTTGCAGGTACTTTTTGTTGGTACAAGGCAAATTGTCCATCACTTGCAAACGGCAACTATTGACCGTCTAAACTGACAGTCACCCTGTCGACAGCCCTATATGTATTGCCCTTCACTGGCTCAATGAGAACAGTGCTTCTGCAGAAAGATAATTCAACAGAACGATTCGCTTTTATTCTCCTAATTGTATTGTATAACAGAGGGTATTGGAAGAGAATTTTAGCTGCTGTGTTTCCACAACTTCCCACAGAAAATACAGTCACTACACTTGAGTGTTGTTACCTGTGGAGTGGTTTGAGATGTTTTTTGTTTTTTGGACATAAGTAAATGTGACAAAAAGCGCCTTAAGGTTGAAGATTGCGACACATAGTTTTTGTTTAGCTCTCTTTACACCAAAAACCTTGTTGAGGTTTTGTGATGGAGCGATAGAGAGTACTGCACTGAAGAGTGTGATTCATGAGTGAAGGCGACTGCCCAATCATCAGTCAGGAGTAGTGTTGCGCTATAATTTGCAAGGAAGATGTTTGAGTGCGATAATGTCAATAGAAAATGTTTTGTTTGTGTTGTTCATTTGACTCATGGTTGAGTATTCTCACTGTTTACTTGGTGATTCTGTCTCCAACATTTCCCCTCTCACTCCCTTCTCACGTACATGCACGCATGTGTCCAAAGGGCACATTGAAATAAAAGCCACCAGTGACTCATGTGAAAGTTGGTACCATGGTACTTGCAATGGTAACAATAATAGTCCTTCCATTTGATATGGCGCCTCATCACATCATTGAGCCGTCTCAAACACGGCAGCCAATTGCGCACAGCAGTGTCCCACAAACAGTCGTGGATTGAGCGACCAAATTATTATTATTATTTATTTATTTTGAAAGGATTATTACCGCCGGAAAGCAGTCTGCCAATCAACTAACAGCCAGATTCCTACTTACTGCTAGGTAAATGGAGGCGTGCGGTGTAAGGAAATTTGCCTAAACTTTCACCTCACCCAGGAATCGAACCCAGGTCCTCTCACTTGCAAGGCGAGCGTGCTAACCTCTACGCTATAGGACTCCCATGAATTCTATCCACATAAGTTAATGAGCACGTGCTGTGTGCCATGGTTCATGTGCGTGTGTAAACGCTGTATTATAAGGGAGTTCCTCCTGGTGTCCTGGCCCAGATACAATTGATCATTCACTTCATGGCTGTTTGTGGGACACTGCTGGGTGCAAATGGGCTGCTGTGATCGCCTAAAAATACACAGTCGCTACATGTTACAGTAAATCCTGTGAAGCACGTTAAGGCGTCCTCCCGACATGAAAGGCGCTGTATAAATGCAAATTTTTATTGCAAAGTGCAACGACTGTATTTTGTAGGCAAATTTGGCAGCTGATTTGTACACAAGCAACCGTGAAGTGAATGGGGGATTTCATCTGAGCTCCCATCACTAGGTCTTTGGAGAGCTCTTGGTAGTGTGTATTGGTTGTTTCAGGAGAGCCCTTTAGAGAGTGTATGATGAGATTGTTTCCATACATCTGCAACCCTTCATTTGGCTCTTGAGTCATTCTTATTCATAATAATCCTTGCATTTGATACAGCAGCTTTTCATGTCATCAAGTCATCTCAAAGCACTACGCAGAATATACTGTGGAATTGATTTTGACTGTGCATTTTGGGGCTTGAATCCACAACCTTCTGACTCAGCGGTGAGGGTGCTACCACTGACCGAGGCATGATGTGTGTGTCATGACAGTAATTTACATGGATATGGCACCCTGTGTGTTTAAAAAAAGAACTGTCTCGAAGTGCTATTTCCCCTGCCTCCTTCTCCCTATGAAGTTGCAGGACTCTGATGTGTTCCAATGCCATACCTCATCATGAACTCTGTGCCCGGGCCATGTTACTTAGCCTCAGTGGGGATTAGATTGCTGACGGTCTTCATTCCCGTAAAGGTTATAAATGTGGAGCCCGACCAACCTGTCACATTCTCTGTAAATGGGAGGGACAGGCAGCTTCATTTTAAAGCCATTGAATCTTGCTCAGATGCATGTAGGCAGAACAAGCTAAGAGTCAGGAGGGGTGTGCGTGGTGTTTGCTAAGTGGCTGTCAATAGACTTTACGGGTGTATTATTGTAGGTTTTAAGTTTGTGAATTGTGTGGGCCACATCCAATGTTAAATGAATTGAAAAAAACGCATCATAGATTGCGTGACAGTGTAACATTAATATTGTTTAGTTTAATGCAGACGAAGTGCCTCTATTTGATTTGAACTGGATAAATGCAAAGCACAAAGCCCGTGCCTGTGGACTGTGGCCAGTGCATGAGGCTGCCTTACAGCCACCTGTAACCAGAGCTGTGCTCTTCCCAGTGATCAGGGATTTGTGTCTTGTTGCATGTGATAGAGGCTTGTATATTACACATCTGTGTAACTAAAGGCTAGCCAGGCAGAGAGTCTGCGCTTCTCTGGATTTGTCTCCGTTTCTAGACTTGGGCCAAAGAGTTCACAGAAACGTTTCTGGCAGAAACTTGCGCCATACAATTTTCACAAGGTCTCCAGTGTTATAAATAACTTCTGTTCTTGCTGATACTTAGGTGAACTTTGAGCTAAAGGATCTTTACAGTGGCGTTGCTCTCCAGATGAAATGTAGTTAATCCCACTATACATCTCAAGGTGCATTCATTGATTTAAAAAAAGGCAAAATACTGCAGTTGCTGGAAATATGAAATAAAAACAGAAATCGTTGGGAACACTCAGCAGGTCAGGCAGCATCTATGGAGAAAGGAAAGTGAGTTAACATTTCAGGTTGATGACTTTCAGCAGTTCTGGCGAAAGGCCATCGACCTGAAATGTTAATTTACTAGACCACATCAAGCAGATCAGGTTAAATTTAATGTGAGTGTTGTTTGTTCTTTAGGAAGATTTAGCTGTAATTTGCATGAACTCCTGAATTGCAGTCACTCAAATTAAATAACTAAATACAGCATTTAATCTCAGTTTATCTTACACAGTTGAACCTATCAATCTTTTGGATTTTAGTAGTCAGGACTCTATAAAAAGCTATTCAGGTATGTGGAGGCTTGTTCCTTATTAGATAGAGAGCTATTATAGTACCTTAGGAATGGATGGGAGGTTAATGTGCTCAAAGCTAGCTGCTGTTTTGGCAAGCTTTATTGTGAGCTGTGCTGTTTAATGGTTTTCAAAGCCAAGGATGCAGAACTGTTACAGCTATCGAAATCCAAGCAGTTAATGATTGTAACCTTCTTGAGACTACGTGTGTGGATTTAATGTGAACCCGGGTGCTCTGTGATACAAAGGTTAAGCATTTAGCGCAATCCATATAGTGTCAGGTGTTCTCATGAACTGGGGTAACTTTAGTACTGTAGTATTGTTTAGTATTAGTATTTTCTATTAGTTTCAGGTATTAAATACGTTTTTTTTGGTCAGCCGGGTGTCTTGACATGTGCGGAAACCCATCACCATGTTTAAGAGTATCCAAACCAAACTGAGCGTTCCATGCATCCCACCAACACATAGAAATTTTTGCTGGAGGAGCGCATGCCGCTTCCCTAAGTCCAGAAAGAATTAGGCACAGTGCACTTGACAAGAGCCAAGGCTTGGGGACCCAAGAGTATGCATTGAGGTACTGCTGGAGTCCAACCAGCTAAAACCACATAATTTGCCATTGAGAACACTGCCTGGCTGCTTCCCCAGCTAGGACCACCTTATCTGTCAGGGCTTTGGCTGCAGGTTAACAGGGAGTGAGTGGGAAAAGTCCCTACCTTCAGTGACCGGCCTACCCTTTCAAGTCCTGCCCATGGGTTGGGGCTGTTATCAGCAGTGCCCTGGATTACTGCGGACCCTCCTGGCTCAGGAACTGGACCTCCGAGACCACTAAAGATCCTGATTCTGACATTCCTTTGGAGATCCTGCTTGCCTCTCGCCTCTCCCCCCCCATCCCGCCCCCGCTCCCCCCCCTCCAATGATTCCTCATATTCTGAACACGGACGTTTGAACAGTCTCACTCCTTGGTTGAACAGTTACTTTGCTGATCGGATTCTTACACCAGTTTATGGCATTTCACTTCTCCCTTTATTTTTGTGAATTCTGCAGACTCTGCGGCAGAGGGGAGAGAAGTCCGATGCCGAGCAGACGTCAGACTTTGTGATGGACGCCAGGTGTAAAAAGGTTGACCCAGATAATGTAAGTGACTCTTTGACCAGTTACTGTACAGTTGGTTCACTCTTTGAGTAAGTGTTCATTTCACTGTAGATTGAGGTACCTGCATCAGATTCTTTCAGTTTGACTGAATGGGGGGAATTGTAATAACTGTAGTAAAATAGGTTTTGGTTATGGACTCACTGTTCAGCTACAGTTGTGCCACTGGGTCAATAACTTGTTCGAGTTGCTACTCTATCCTCATCCTCTCTCTAAACTGACCATCATGTTTCAAATTGCCATGATCAGTGATCACCTGCATTCCAGCTTCCAGCACTCCCTCAAAAAAACAGGATCTTTCCCTTTTCACTGGTTATTTGCGAATCTGCATTTGTTCTGGTTCCATCTCATCTCATCTTGTGATGTGTGTGATCTGCTTTAATGAGCCAGCTGGACTTTGATAGTTGCAACACTATAAATCTAACATAGATAATGTCTGTGGTTTATTTCCTGGTGACCTGCCAAAACCAATTGATGTATCAAATATTCAGTTCCACAATACCTGCTGCTTCTTTGCCACTGGTCATTGGTTTTTGTTGCCGTGTCCTGATAAAACTAAAACATTAGATTAATAAGTGTTATAAAGCACAATAAATGACTGTTCAAGCAACATACAATCCAAAATTACATGTGTACAGCGCTTTTGGTGTCGGGAGGACGTCCCAAAACTTCTCACAGTCTGCCCTGTCTTTAGATTCAAAAAAACTCATCACCTACATATGCACACATGCATATGTCCACGATGTTCCTCCAATTGTGATGCCTGCAAATTTCACAAGAAAAGTTCTGGTGGTGAAAGCGAAATTTGTGGGCGAAAGGGGGCAGCCATTTGTTTCTTGAGGGATTATTTTCAGGCATGTGGAATAAGGAAACTTGCCCAAGTTTTCACTCTGCTGGGAATCGAACCCAGGTCTCTCGCTTGCGAGGCGAGTGCTCTAACCACTGAGCTAGGACTCCCTGAATGAAAGCTAAACCGAGAAGCATTTTGTTTTGAAGCAATGAGAGATTAGAGGACCAGTTCTAGCAAGTTCTGTCACCATTGGAAACCTACCTTGCTGACCATAACAGTGGATTGGATTTGAATATTAGAACTAAACTGATCTTGATTTCTCAACCATAGCTCTGAACTGGACTGTGAAATGTACTCTACATAGAACTGAGAGACATGGAATGTGGTGCAAAGGTATTAACATAACGTTTCTTCTCTCTGGCAACCCCTTAGGACCTGGTGGACTGGAACAAACCATTGCTGTGGCAGGTTGGGCACTTGAGGGAGAAATACGATGAATGGGTGCATCAGCCAGTGGACCGCCCCATTCGCCTTTTCCATTCAGACCTTATAGAAGCTTGTACAAAAACAGCCTGGTAAGCAACAGCAGACCTTATAACCTCTGACAGATTTTAAACTTCTGCTTTAATATTTGGAGTCAAATCTAACAATCCCTGCGATTGATATAGTGCCTGCCTTATCGTGTCGAGACATATCAAAGTGCTTCTCAGGATTTTACTGTGAAATGCAGTGACTTAATTTTGCAGGTAAACTTGGGCAGCCAAGATGTGTACAGCAATGTCCCACAGACTTTGTGTACCAGAAGGCAGAAAGTCCATGACCAATTTTATCTGGGGAGGGGTGTGGGGGTTGGGATTATTGACCAGGACACTGAGAGAATCTGCCTTCTCTTCTTGAATACTGCCACGGGATCTTTAACCTGATTCACCTGAACAGACAGCTGAACCTCAGTTTAACAACTCATCGGAAGGACATCATCTCCGCCAGTGCAACCTTCCCCCCAACACTGCGCTGAAGCGTCAACCCAAACTGTGAGCTTGTTAGGTCCTGACCTGGGGCTTCAACCCACAACCTCCTGACTCAGAGGGGAGAGCCCTGCCAACTGAGCCAGGCTAACTTGTGAATATAATGGAAGAACGACTGTACAGTTTATCTGAAAAGTGGTTGAAAATAAAAAAAATTCTAAAGCCACAGCAACTAGAATGACTGTGGTATGTTATGTGTATGGACAGCAAAAGTCTTATCAAATCTCCCCATGCTGCCATTTTCATGTCAGACAATTCATAGGCTGCCTTCCTGGCTGCTGCTTTGCTGATTAAAACTTGTAGTTGATGGGGCCCTTTGACATTGAAACTGAAAGCACTTCACACAGTAAGTTGCTTTAAAGTTAGTGCAGCAAATGCACATCAGTGACCTTTTGGATGAGGAAGGAAAACTGACCAGCTTCTCACATGCACTGATATTCCCAAGACTCTAAACGGTTTAATGATGATTCACTGACGATGAGTATTGTAGAGCTTTACACTGTGGATTAATGCAGTGCTGTAGTCATTTTAGCCAAAGGTGTGAGCGCCACTCAGAGGCTCAAGGTGACATCTCTGCTCTGACTTGCCTTGTGTAATTAAATGGTCCAAATATGATAGAGACTGGCACTGTGCCCATTCACTGCCCGCCTTGGCGCTCTCTCCTCCCAAGCCCACCCCTCACCCCCATGCTGGCTTCTGGCTTTTTGCATGAATGTTCCTGTTGTGTTCACTATTTCCCTTTCCATTCAATAATGTGCGTTCGTCCACAAATACACAATCACTCCACTTTGCAGGGTATCCTGTGAAGAGCTTTGAGACATCTCAAGGACGTGATAAGGCGCTATATCAACTGCAAGAATTATTATATTAAAGGAATAAATTGAGCTCTTTGGCTCTATTGTCAATAGCTGAAATTCTCTCAACATGACTCAATCATAACCAGTGTTACTTTGCCATTATAAATCGTGATGGTGATCAATAAAAGAGGGTCTTTGCACTTCACAAGCTCTGTATAAATGTCGGCAAAGCCTGATTAAATTAAAGTGGAGCATCTCCTCACTGCTCGGATAGCTCCTGACCTCTGAACGGTGCGTCGCTTGTTAGCTCGCTTATTATAAGGAAACTGTAAAGCCGCCTTTAACTGCTCGCTCACGGTTTGGTACGACTCCCAAACAACACTACAGAGGGTTCTCTCCCACATCTGACAAAAACCATTGTAAATCTGTCTTGAAATTCATGCTCCCCCTCTCCAGCACCAATCTCCACTTGCTACAACCCACCACTTTCTCTTTGAATGTTTGGGGAATTGATGTGCTTTGTTCTCAGTGAGCACTTAGAGCACTCAGCTGTGCAGAGATTGCACACTGATGTGCCTGGCATTTCACTGTGTACACTTGTCTAATTATTGCTTGCTGTCTGTAGCCTGGGTCCCCTGTCACTTTTATTATATAAAAAAACCTACTGTGCTTTTTAAATGCTTCACTTTGTGGGCTGCGATGTGCTCTGATGGAAGATTAATCTGACAGCTCGATTTGGAATCTGCTGATGTGCTGTGCTGCGTCTCTCTGTTTGTAATGGTGAATATAGTTTCTCACCGACTTGAAAGGGACGTGTAAACAGAAGCTAGCAGAATCCTCCCTTGAATGGTTTAGTCATACAGGAAAACGGCGAAGGTGATTAAGACTTTATGTGTGTAGATTTTAAGGAGTTCTGTTGGAGGCGAGCTTCACAATGCTTTAATGGGACATTTGAGGTATTGTAGCGTTGGTGCATTGTACATAGATACTGAGGAAATTATCTGAAGTAAAGAAAAGGCAGGTAAATGGGAATAAACAATCTGTGTGGTCTAACAAAATGGCAAAGTGACTTGATAAGCTAAATGGACTCCTGATCCAATATTCCAACAATGCTGATTTACTAAACAGCAGTGCTTACAGTTGGGTTGAACAAAGACCTATAAACAAAGTCCCTGTTTGAACCCATGTCATGAATTTCCTAGTTTTAAGGGATGAGCAGCATGTTCTCCTTGTTCCATCTCTATAGCGTAGTGGTTAGAGGACTTGCTTCGCAAGCGAAAGGACCTGGGTTTGACTCCTGGGCAGAGCAAAACCTTAGGCAAGTTTCAGTTGGCGGATCGTTCTCCAGGGGTAATTATCCCTCAAAAAAATATATAATTTGGTCACTCTTTTCACGACAGTTTGTGGGACACTGCTGTGCGGAATTGGCTGCCAGCAATGAATACTCTTCCCCCAACTGATGGTTGTCGCTGTGAGGCGCTAAATAAATAAATAAGTTGCTCAGTAATAAGGAATAAAGTAATGGTTTATTCGCTGGTCAACTCGGAAAGATTTGAGCTTAACTCATCTTTACCCTCACATTATCTGCAAGATAGTAATACAGATGATTTTATGGAGAATTATCTTCACCTGGCTGGTAATAAACAGTCGAGTGTGGTTGTGCTCCATGCTGGAGTCGGTGAGTTTCTAGCTCCAGCCAGCTGTGCCCTTCATATAAGGTATCTATATTATTTGGAGGTTGAATGCATGAAAATGGTTGATTTATCGACTCTTTCCGTGGTCTTTCTGAGTCTTTGTGCAGATTTTCAAATCCATTCAAAGTTCCAGTCCCTTAGGCCCTTTGAACCCAGTGGAAACGTGGAGCATTCTGATAAATTATCTGTGTTCTTTCATTTCGGCTTTGTGACCCTGCTGTTTGCGGTCAAAGAACAATGAAACCTCTCAAAGAACAATGAAAAACCTCCCAAAAAAAGGCACAGTGGTGCAGGATGAGTCCTTTTTAGGGGAGAGAGGGGAAAGGGGGTTGAAGAGGAGGGTTTTGAGGTGGGACTTGAAGGAGGCTAAGGAGGGGGAGAGGCGGAGTGATTGGGGGATGGAATTCCAGAGGTTGGGGGCAGAGTGGCAAAGGGGCGGGTGGGTTGGGGGATGTGGAGCAGGTCAGAGCCGGCTGAGCAGAGGGAGCGGGCGGGTTGGTAGGGGGTTAGGAGGTCGCAGAGGTAGGGTGGGGCGAGGCCATGGAGGGCTTTGTAGGTGAGGACCAGAATCTTGAACTGGATCCTCTGAAGGATAGGGAGCCAATGGAGTCGGGTGAGAATGGGGGAGATGGGGTCACGGAGTTTGGTGCGGGAGAGGACACGGGCTGCAGAGTTCTGGATTATCTGTAGCCTGTGGAGGGAGGAGTTGGGAAGGCCGACAAGCAGGGGGTTTGCATAGTCGAGCCTGGATGTGATGAAGGCATGAACAGGAGTTTCAGTGGCCTGAGGGTTGAGGTAGTGGTGGAGTCGGGCGAAGTTACGGAGGTGAGGGAAGGCAGAGCGGATCATGGCTTGGATGTGGGAAAGAAAAGTTGAGGGGTCGAACAAGACACCGAGGTTCCTGACTGGCTTGGCGAGTTGTAGTGTGCAACCATGGAGATTGATGTTGGCAGAGCCTGAGGTGCTGAGGCGCTGGCGCGAGCCATTCAGGAGGGCCTCAGTCTTGTTCACATTCAACTGTAGGAAATTTGCCCTCATTCAGGACTTGACGTCAGACAGGCAGTGGTCCTGAAGTTGAGGGTGGAGGCAGAAAGATAGAGTTGGGTGTCATCCACATACATATGGAAGTTGACCCCATGTCTGCAGAAGATGTCACCAAGGGGAGCATGTAGATATTAAAGAGGAGAGGGCCACGGACAGAGCCCTGGGGGACAGCAGACGTGACAGTGCGGGGGCTGGAGGAGAAACTGTTAGAGGTAAACAAAGGTAAACAAAATAATCCTTGTATTTGATATATTGCCTTATCACGCCTTTGAGACATCTCAAAGTGCTTCACAAAATATACTGTAAAGTGAATTAAGTGTGTATTTTCTAGGTGAAACGGGACAACCAATTGCTAACAGCAGTATCCCACAAACAGTCGTGAATTGATTTTTTTTAAAAAAGGGCTTATTACTGACTAACAACTGGGTTTCTACTTAGTGCTAGGTAAACAGAGGCGTGTGGAGTAAGGAAACTTGAAGGTTTTGCCCCGCCCAGGAATCGAACCCAGGTCCTCTCGCTCACGAGGCGAATGCTCCAATCACTAAGCTACAGGATTGTTGAATTGTGTTCATTACAATGGGTAACATGTATTTGTAGGGACGTTATCCATGGTAGTAGGGAAGCTCTGGACTAGTATATCCATTCGGTGTGAAGTCTTCTAAGGAGACTATGTCCTGGTTTGTTCGTAGGCAGAGACTGTGCCCAAAAATGAGAATCGTGTATGTGATTGTTAGCGTTCACTGGATATCAGATGACTTTGTTTCGAAAACGTGTCAGTTCTCCTCTGCCGGCTATTTTTGAATTGAGCCAAGTTTACTGAAGGATTTCCCTCCCTCTGTTCTCTCCGCAGGTATATGGTTCCATTGGTCTGGTTCCCTATTGTACTTGTATCAAGCTGGTACCTCTATAGCGAACTGGCAAGAGGCAACACTCGGCTCTTCACTTCCATCACAACAGGTATTGTCAGTTACACATTATCGGGGATCCAATGTTATGGAACAATAGATTGAAACGTATTTGGGGTCAGCATTTATTTGTGTGAAGTTGGGGGAAAAAACTCTTCCCCAATTTCAGTGTGTGGAAAATCCTCCCCCCGAAAGAAGGAAAAACTATTTGTGAAGAAAGTTTCATTTTGAAACAACAGTGATTTGCGCTTGCTCCTCACCTTTCCCATTTGAATATGTCGCAGAGCACTTTACAAAGACTGGGCGAAGCTTGAAGAGGGATGGAGATGGGAGAAGTGAAGTCAAAGCGAGCTTTTTTTTAGGATTCGTTTTAATGCTTGTAATAAATTGCATTTGGGGCTGATCAGATCGGTGTAGCAAGTCTTAGCAGGCGTGACGTTTACATTGGACCTTGGACTGCCCGGAACAGCAGATCCTTGGACTCTTTGAGATGTTGAACTGAAGTGGAATGACCAGGAATCGGGGGAGATAGAGTGGAGCAAGATTTGTATCCTGTGCCAGGCAGTGTGTATGTGTTTGTGCCACTGCGGAACAGTGACAGAGGCCTGGCATTGGGTGACATTCCCACTCTCTCGACCAGACACTGGTGCTTGACGTGCAGAGGCAGGAGATACATTTTTAATATCAGTAAAGAAAATGAGAAACTTGCTTTAGTGACATAGAGGCTTTAACTGCACATCAGCACCTAACCAAACTAAATGGACGATTGATTATAAAGCAACATTAGACTTTGGGGAGTGATTTGCAGGAGTGGGGAGGGAGGGACGAATACTGAATCCTAACACTTTTTTCTAATGTTTTTTTCTCTCTCTCTCTTGCCCTACAGACTACTCCATCCCTGTCCACAAGTATTGCTACCCAATTTTTTTCCTATTTGGAATGTTTCTGTGGTCCTTGGTTGAATATCTGATCCATCGTTTCGTTTTCCATATGAATCCACCAGCGAGCAATTACTACCTCATCACTCTCCATTTCATGCTGCACGGGCAGCACCACAAGGTGACTGGAAGGAATGGCACAGCAATGATGTCTTGTCTGAAGAGGGCGGGGCTGCTGCTTACAAACCAGTCTTGAATGAAGTCTTTTCAAAAGGATTCCATTTGGGGAATTCTGTAATAATTATATCCATTAGGGAGAAGGGAATAGAATACACAGTCACTCCAGTTTTTAGTATATTCTGCGAAGTGCTTTGAAACGTCTCGTAGACGTAATGAGGAGCTATATCAAATGCAAGGATTATTATTATTATTATGGAGCCTGTGGAACAGCCTTCTTAAGGAGATGGTTGAAGCAGGAAGTGTTGATTCCTTCAATCACAGATTAGATCGTTTTCATTTAGGAAATAACATTATGGGATATAGTAAATAGGTATTTTGGGACATCTGTGCATGCGACTGCCAGGAAGGTGAACTAGGTGGATCTTGGTCTATTTTTGTCTAGGATTTCTTATATTATGTTCTTATTATAATAATGATCCTTCCACTTGATATAGCACCCAATAACATCACCACAATGGCTCAATCCACTTGATTAGTAACTGCAGCAGTAGACAATCAGCACACAGTCATGAAGCCAGAGACCTATTTGTCTGAGGAACAAGGAGGGGTGGAATCGCGTGTGAAGTATAAACACAGGCACGGGCTAATTGGGTTGAATGGTCTGTGTGATGTGCTGGTTTGGTTTGTGAGATTAGAGCTTGTTACACCCACGACTGTTAAAGTAAAACTGGATTGGATTGGATTTACCGGTGATGGGAAGCTGAGAGAATTGGATAATGCCCATCAAATCCTAGATGCAGTTTTGCCAACTCAAGAGAGGTTTAGGATAAAATTCTCCAAAGCTTTTACAGCTGCTTTTGGAATTGAAATGCANTTTTTTTGGTCAGCCGGGTGTCTGACACACACAGAAACCCATCACCATGTTTAAGAGTACCCAAACCAAACCGAGAATTCCATGCATCCCACCTACACATGGGAATCCCAGAGACAGATTGTTGGAATGGAATGTGCACTCTCTCAAGACTTGGGGACACCACAGTGCGCGTTGGGGTAACTGCTGGAGTCTAACCAGCTAAAACCGCATCGTTTCCCATTGATATCGCTGAATTGAAATGTAAATTCTGTAACTTCCCCAAAAACGTGTTTGCTTTCACTCATGCAAATGCTGTTTAGTAGAAACACAATCGAATTGCATCAATAATGCCCTTCTAAAGGGTATGCTCCAATAATGGTCATTAACAACAACAACAGGATTACATGTGTATAGTGCCTTTCACATCGGGAGGACGTCCCAAGGCGCAATTAAAGGGCACTAATAATTAGAATATTTTGTTCTTTGGAGAACATGCTCAATCATGTTAGTTTTCTTGTGCATAATTGAGGCCCTCACAAATGTACAAAATACCACTATACATGGTGAACATAGCAAGTTTGTGATCCGAGGCAATTATTAAAGTAAAAATGGGCAGAAATCACTAAACTCCATTCTCTTATCTCTCTCTATAGTCTCCTTTTGACGGTTCACGCTTGGTCTTTCCACCTGTTCCAGCGTCGCTGGTTGTCGGGCTGTTTCTCGGTGCCTTCCACCTGTTAATTCCTGGAGTAATCGGGTTGTCTATATTTGTGGGAGGTCTGGGTGGCTATGTTGTTTACGACATGGTTCATTACTATCTGCATTACGGATCTCCAAAGAAGGGCAGTTACCTGTATGGACTTAAAGCTTACCACGTTAAGCACCACTTTGAACACCAAAAAGCAGGTACGCAATACCATTACAGTCTACATTGTACAGTAAAACTCACACGTCTAATCTTTATAAGTCATATAATTGTCTAAGTTGTGCATTCACCCAAGTCTCATTCAGTTTCCAATCAAAGCCACTTAGATTTCTTTGCACTACTTGTATTAATCACCTCCTAACTCATAAGTGCCAACCGCTCCCCTAGCCGCCATTGCTCCCGCACTTGCCGCCTGTCTTGAATTGCGGAAAATGATCTGTTGACGCACGCGCAGAAGAACTTCATTTCCCGCGATTCAATGCGATTCCAGTCGTTGCCAACAAATGCGCATCCGGCGATAGGTCAAGACTCATTGAATCTTGGGAAAAGTAGTCTTGACCCTTCATCTCATGCAGATTTACCAGTTGCATCAAATTCCGCAGGCGCAATGTAGATTATTTGATTAAATTGTATTTTCAGTAACTTGTATAGTTGGGCCTGCAACGTGGACTTTGTGCAAGTCTTATTAAACGTTATGGTCCTGACTAACTTACGTGAGTTTACTGTATGGTACATTGCATTGTATAATGCGTGTTTTGTTAGCAGTTGTTTCTGTTGCACGTCACAGAGCTGGTAACAACCACTGCAAAACCACTCTTTTTTTCTCTCTCCTTCAGGATTTGGAATTACCACCAGGCTGTGGGACTACCCATTTCGTACCTCAATCCCAGAGGAAACATTCGATAAAAGTCACTGATGTCTACATTCTGTCTCAATTTCTACACTTTTAATCAGCTCAATCGAGCTGCTTTCTGATGTCAGAACTGCAGTTCACCAGTACGTACGAATCCTTCTACAACTCAACATTGAATATTCCAAATATCACACACCTACGTTTTCTAACAAAGTGCCTGATCTTGGGGAGCTAGATTGCCTCTGAGCAATATTTATTAATAAAATTGTTTAAATATATATATTTTTGGATCTTACCATCCAGGAATCTGTCACAGTTGTGCATTGTAGTAAGTATTAACACTAAACTTTCTTGGGGATTTTGAGTTTTAAGCAGTTTGTGGTGAAAACTATTTTTTGAAGAAATCTTGAGGAAAGGGAAACTATCTGCAATCAGTCTGATTCAGTTTGTCGCACGTTTTGCTTATGAAATATTTTTCTGTATTGACAGATGTGAGGAACAATGAGTCAGACGATAATCTTAAATTACCCGATTACTTTGTCGTGTGTTATTCTCCGATTGCACCTTCATCTGCATGATTCAATTTTGTTTCAACTCTTTGAGGACCTTCCTTATTCGACCGTGCCTACGGTAACCTTCCCCCTCCCGCTGGCTCGGCATCATGCTCCGCCACTGTTAAGCCCTCCGAGACGCCATCCAGCATGAAGGACGCTATATAAGTGCAAGTTGTTGTTGTTTGAGATTGATTTCCTTCTTGGCTTATGTCCATCTTTTTAACCCCTTCCAGGAAGTTGTGTGCTCCTCCGACTAAATGCTCCAGCATACTATTTCCTCCTTGCGGGTTCTTTTCCTGGTTGTAGTAGAACAAACTGCTAGCAAATTTCCTGTTTCTCCTCTGCTTCCCAGTCACGCTCCCAATCTCTGCAACCCAGCAAAGCTGCCAATTGCGTTTCATTCCTTTTGCCTTTGATATTGAGCTAAATAGTGTTAGCTTTTTAGAAGAAGAATTATTTTACACTTGCCAATATTCCATAGCAACATAGTCAACCTATAGTGGGTATTTCAATACTATCCATTCTGCTTAATCTGAGACAGCTCATTTTTATACCTGGACGTATTGTGTAGATATCGCAATAGCACTTTTTTTGTTCAAAAGTTGGATTTTCTTGGGATTTCTTGATAGAGTGGTAAGGATTCTGCTTTTCACTTCTATTTAACTCTGCTTAACAGGTCAGATCTGCTGTTCATCTTTCTGAAGTTTACCCTGAAAGCTTAAGAAAACAAAGGGCATATGAGAGTATAAAAGTTGTGGGTTAAATAGTTCTGGTTTCATTCCACCATAAATGGGGAAAACATTGGCTTTCTGTGGGCTTACTTTGGCATGCATAAAGATTCTTGAAGTACAATTGTAAATAAAGTCCTGTATATTTTTGAAAATAGATTATGCATAGACTTACCAGAGCCCTCTTAACTAATGTGATCGGTTCCTTTTGTTGCGTCTTCGTAATGGTCCGGCAGATCTTTGGCCAGATACCTGAATGAAAGGGTTAGTATGTGAAGTGACTGTTTTAGGTTTAGCAAGTATGTGCTAAAAGCCAGTGAGTGGCCACAGTTTGAATGTGCAGTAGGTTTTCAGTGCAATTGGATTTATGTACAAGACTGGAGCTCTGATTTTTAAAATATTTTTAGACTGCTCAAGAACTGCACATTTTCATTTGTTGCAGGATTTTAGCTTAGAAGTAAAAGTGAGTTGATAGAAACCATTGCTGCGTTCTATTTACAAAACCCTCATTTGGTATGTTCAGAAGGAAAAGCGAGCCCTGATTCTGGCTGTTAACAAAGTTGTCTTCGTGAGGTGGGCATTGATTATGGACCAAGTACTTCTCACTGGTTGAAGAGACTTTGAACTAGAATTTGGTAAGTGAGGCACTGACATGACTGTGGTGAAGATAAATGGGTAATGTGTTTATTACGTGTTATCTGAAACAAAAAAAGTTAAAATTGCGAGCTTGGCATTTGTACGATTGCTCCATTTCTGTTCCTCGGCTGCTACACAACCCGTTTTCCTTCTTAGTTGTTCCTCACATGTGAATGTTTAAAAGCAAAACCTGAAAGGTGCCTTAAGGTGACTTAAAGCTTGTAGGCATTGTCTAATGTGTTGTGGATATGTGAACTAGTTTGATTTTTTTTTCAACGAACATGTGAACTCAGTAAACTGAGGGATGCTATAAAACTATCTGACTTGAGCGCTAGTGTTTCGGATATCATGAAGCTCCATTGCATATTATTTGGAGCGGAACATATCCTCGAGGTACACAATAGCTCCTGTAATTCCCAATGTAGACTGTCATGTAATTTGTTGTATTTGCAGTGTTGTATCAAATTCCTTTTTATGATCGATTCACAAAGTGTTAATAAATTTCTAGTTTGTAAAATGAACTAAATTGAAAAGTCTTGTGTGTGAACATTTTTGTTCATGGAACGACCTTGTACTTAATAAATCATTAAGTAATATAGGTGTACCCAGTTTTTTTTGGGGATTAATTAATTAATCAGTCAATCAACAACTATGCATTTGAGTTGTCAAAGAAATTTCACCCTTGCATTGGAAAATTGAGAAGTTTGTGCCATTGACACTGGCCGAAGTTCGAGACTTCTTGTGGGGAATCTAGTTTAGCCCCACATTAGAAAGAAAGGCTGGGCAGTCGACACAAAAAAACGGCTAAACTCTAAAGGAGATTGCAAAAAAAAATTAAATTCTTATCCGTCCTCGCCAGGTAATCTTTTAACTGAAATTGCTTTGAGGAGCTGCTTCTCTTACTTTGATATGTGCGCTCATCAAAAAGCCTCAAATACAATTGTAAGGCACTGCGGGATGCTACCCTATGTCAAGGGCACTGTATAAATGCAAGTCGTTGTTGTAAAATATGAAACGCGTTGGGCTCTGGAGCGAGACAGAGTTGTGCTCCTGCTTTTATCTTCTTTCCTTTTCTGAAGGTGTTTGGGCTCTTTTCCTCCTATCCTTGGGATACAGTTCCTCTGGTTCCGTGTGCTCTGTACCTTAACCGTGTGGCTGTTACTTACATGTGAGCCTTATGTTAACTGCGAAGGGCATCATCGACCAAGCCCAATCATGAGCCTGATAGCCATATAGAAATACACACACACACACTTTTTGCAGCACAGCTCACTGGATGAGCAGAGGGCCCTGGATCATTTCCTCCCCGTCCCCATCACCCGGGAGACTTAATAACATGTCTGTACAATAGAAATCAGAGGCCGGTATCGGAGCCTGGAACGTGTCGGTGAATAAACAGTTGCACAGGTAAGTCACTCCTGTTTGGTTTTCAGCAACATGGACCTACCCACAGCTAAGTAACCTGCAAAAGATATTTACAATTGGATATGCACTTTGCTCGTCCTCCAAAAGGATTCCAGCCGAGTCCAGTCGGTATCAGATAAGACGAGCAAGGTTGCAGGCACACCTCAAGTCACCATTTAACTGCTCGGCACACTGCAAGGCCAAAGCCATAACAAACCTGTTTATCAGAACGAGGGGAACTGAGGTTAAACCGAGATCCCAACTGCTACTCAGCTGAGATTAGCTATAAATCGACCAGACTATGAGCTCACACTTTCTCGAGCTGATGCTGCAATGGACACCTCTAAGACACCATCTGGCTTGAATGGGGCTATATAAATACAAGTTGTTGTTGTTGTTAATCGAACCGGTTAAGAACAATGCGCAAGTTTTCATTAATGACAAACCTTATTAGAAAAACAATGGACATTTACTTTGATGTCATTCCAATGTAGATTTATCAACACTGTATGCTACTTAACAAAAATAGGTCAACTCACAATTTTCTTTATTGCTGCATAAGCATTTTAATGTGAATAGAGCGATTTTCCAAGTCTATTGGCGGCCATCGCTTGTGTTCGTTAAACTGTTGAGATCAAAATGCCATTGGGAGTTCACGATTATTTCCATCCGCTGGCCTGAGAGACGGCCAGCAAAAGGAGGAATAACTTACTGCCGTTTAAATGTAAAAACACTGCACGTTGCAATTGGATTTTAGCCTTTCATCTTTCAAAACGTCTTATCTTTTTGTGATCCAAAGCTTATGTAAGAGTAATTGTGATGCCAGCTTGGCACAGTTGATGACACTCAGCTCAAGAGTCAGAAGGCGGGTGACAGGTTCAAGCCCCGTGTCTTATCGTCTTAGACAATGCTCCACTGCAGTAGTGGGGGAGCGTTGCATTGTTGGAGGTGTGGTCCTCTGGATGAGACATTAAACCAAGTGCAGCTGTTTTCCTATTTGACTTGGAAATGATTTGTTGGAAACCCCATTTCTGCCTGGCACGTTAACCGATGCTTCCATTTGGATGCAGTAGCAACTGGCCTTCTGTGGACACCTGTTCTGCATTAAGGAGCAAATATAGTCATTTAAGCTTTCCAGTAAATATTGACTAGAGTAAGAGTGTGCATTAAGATTCATGATTTGTGGGCAGATCCAATTCCATGTGCTGTACAAAGCTGTATTGTATGAACTACACACAACCATTGAGCAGTTAAGCCTCAACTTAATTCCTCAAATGGCTGCTTGGTTCTTCTGTGTTCATTACTGGGATTAAACATTTCAAAATACGTTCCTTGTGGTAAGGAGGAAAACTTCTTTAGAAATGGTCTTCATAACCAGTGTTGAAGCTTAAATGTAAAACCTGGGATGTGAATCGCGAAGACATTAGCTGTGAAACTCGTTAATTCCTTGTTGTAGTCCCTGTTTTAAAAAGTGTACGAAAGGTACCTTTTCAACTTGCTTCATGAACAATAGATGTCGTTGGAGTGGGCATCACGTGGGGGTGAAGCTATTTTCAGTACTGAGCTCGGCTGAATGAAAAGGCAGTTGTACAAAAGTCGAACATCAAGGGAACGAAAACGACGATAGAGTGAAGCAGCAGCTAGGCTGGCACACAGCACACAGATTTTACAAAAATAATCCAAGCACGAGAAACGCTGAAACATTCTCCAATTGTTTCACAGGAATTTATTGTAAAGTGAAGCGCCTGAACACGGTAGCTAATTTGAGTGGCTGGGCGGGCGGAATAATACATTAAATACAACACGCACAGAATGCTGCATATCGCGTGGTTTTCAGAATAGTCCCGTCTTTTTACGGCAAAGATTGGTGTGACTCCAGAGGAGCAAATAATCCTTACATTTGATATAGTACCTTTCACATCAGGAGGACATTGCGAAGTGCTTCACATGATATGCTGTAAAGCTGAGTGTATTTTTCGCATACAATAACAACAATAAGTCGCTAGAGTTGCAAGTAATTGACTTGGAGGTTTTTCCGATTGTTATCGTTATTGTATCAAATGCAAAGAGTATTATTCTTAAAATTCCAATTGAACTGCAACAAATACTCCAATGTTTGGATCGGGTAAGTTTTGTTAAATAATAACAATCCTTGCATTTGATATACTGCCTTTCACGTCAGGAGGACATCTCAACGTACTTCACAGGATTTACTGTAAAATGCAGAGTCCGTATTTACAGGCAAACACAGCTAATTTGCACACAACAATATCCCCCAAACTGCAGCATGATTGGAATCCCTGGCCAACATTCAGTGAAATGAATGGCCAATTTTATCTGGGGTATTGTTGGGCAGGAGAAACTCTTCCTTTTGGATAGTGCCACAGGATCTTTAATGTCCATCTGCACAGATAGATGGGGAATCTGTTTAATGTCTCATCCAAAGGATGGCATCTCCAACATCGCCATGCTCCTCTAGCACTGTATTGGGACTTTAGCCTGGACTGTGAAGCTCAAAGTTCTGATGTGGGATTTCAAGCCACAACCTTCTGACTCGGAGCTTGAAACTGCTTCCAACCTTGCCAGGCTAATACCTGGCTCAAACCTCAGAGACCGAGATAAGAGTACAAGACTTTGAACAGAGACAGACTGAAGCATTCATTATTCTGTCTGTCTGTGTCTGTGTGTGTGTCTCTCTCTCTTGCGCATTTTCAGTTCCTATATTTCTATATTTGCAAAGAAGAATACTGATCAAGAAAGCACGGCAATGGCCTAGGAGCTGAATTGGGAAACAAATGTGAAAAAGCAGAAGTCCTGGTTATAAAAAGAATGTGGTGTCTTTTATGGTAGATGAGAGTCTGCTGACGAGAGAAACTTGTTGCTCAGAGCTGGCGCGTGAACTGCTTCTGTTTTTTCTTTACATTGAGTGAATGAGAAAGTTACCCCATATTTTCTGTAATGTCTGAGTCCAGGGCTGCCACCGCATCTCAGTGACTGACTGGTCAGTGCCATTGGTGTTTTCTTACACACGGAAATGATGATATTTAACCTTAATTGGTGACCAGGACCCGTATCTATAAAGCAAGCGACTTTGCTCCTTGTTCCTTCCTAGTTCTAATTACTTTTACGTTTGTGGGTTCAAATCTCTATGACTGCAAGCTCATAGTCTAATGGGCTGACACTCCAATGCAACAACAACTTGCATTTATATAGCGCTCTTCACATGGGGTAATGTCCCGGAACCCTTGACAGTGGCAGATTCTGACAACGAGCCAGGGGGAGAGGGATTGGGGAGTTGATCGTAAGTATGATCAAAAAGGAAGGTTTTTTGGTGAGATTTGAAGGTGTGGAGGGATTGAGGGAGGGGGCAAGGCGGAGGGATTGAGGGACAGAGTTCCAGTGCAGTGCTGGGGGAGACCTGCATTGTCTGAAGTGCTAAAACAAGTCATAAAACTGAGGTCCCGTCTGTCTGTTGTTCAGGTGCACTTTACAGTATTCAAATAATTAGGAAGCTTTTCAGTATCCTGGCCAATGCTCCAGCAATAAGTGCACAATAAACACAATAATGGAAAGAAAACTGGGGCTGGCGTCGGACAGGGAAAGGACTGTAGTGAGACAGGGAAGGATAAGCTGTAGATTGTAGTCTTTCTTTCTGTTGGTGATGGCACTGTTAGGATATTGGGTTTATTGGGGATCAAGCTCCATGAGGCAACACGTTTCGCTCACTTTGATAATGGAGCCTAATAGATATGAGATTCCTTGTGAGGTCTGAGCCACTAAAAGGGACTGGTTATGGAAAGTGGGAGTAAAACACCACAACACTGCTGGAAACTGCTTGATGTTGTAATGGGAATCCGGTAGGAGGGATATTCTGGGAGGGCGAGATCTAATGGGCAGAAGCGGTTTGTGAACTGTCTCTCTTTGTGCAAATAGTTCTCTGAATTTGATAGTTTGTTTTTTGGGGAATTTTACGAATGACGTGGGTATGAATATTTGCTTGGATTGCATTGCTTTCTTTCCTGCAGTCACTTGAATTACAGTGTGCCAGTGACTGCTCTGGCTGCACATGTACGTTTTCAGATGCATTTATCAAACAAATCTCAAGATCTATCATTACTTATA